GGGAGCGGATCCGCTTCACTCAAGGGCCCCTTAAGTGCAGCGGACTGCGTTGTGCTTCGGGAGGCCCTCGCAAGGGGGAGCAGATCCGCTGCACTTAAAGGGCCCTTAAGTGCAGCGGACTGTTTGGGGCTCCGGGAAGGCCCCGCAAGGAAAAAGCATTTAAAGACTCTTCAAGTGCAGCGGGCTGTTTCGGCTTCCGGCAAGCCCTCGCGAGAGAAGCAAATCCAGTGCAGCCGGCTGTTTTGGCCTCCGGGAGGCCCCCCCCAAGGGAGAGGCAGATCCGTGGCACTTAAGGGCCCGTGAAGTACGGCGGACTGTCTGGGGCCCCGGGAGGCCCCCGCAAGAAGGAGCAGATCTGGTGGTCTGAAGGCTTAAGGGCCCTTACATACAGCGGACTGTCTGGGGCTCCGGGCGCCCCCCCGAAGAAGGAGCAGATCCGCTGCACTTAAGGGCCCCTTAAGTGCAGCGGGCTGTCTTGGCCTCCGGGAGCCCCCCCCCCCCGAATGACGATCGCACAGTGGGCCCCCCTCGCGCGGTCGCTGTCCAACCGCCCTCGGAGACCCCTCCCACCCCTTCCCTCCTCTCCTACTCCCTTTGGCCGACCCCTCGTAGTCCATCGCCTCATAATCTGTTTCACCGAGTGCCCTCAAAATCTGTTTCACCGAGTGCCCCGAGCCTCGTATCGAACAGTCAGTCCTCTGCCGCCGTCGCCTCGACGCGCCGCATTTTGCGGGCGTTGTGCATGTCCACGCAGTGGAGGAGCACCACGTCAAAGGCAACAGGCGAAACGTTGTTCAAGGAGTGCCTGACTTTGTTCAGGCAGCGCCACTGGCGTTCCATGGTTGCAGACCAGCGCCTCCGGCGCAGCTGCACCCGACAGGGTAGCTCGGCGTGGATTAGCATGTCTCGCAAGGCGAGGGCCGTGTACCCCGACACCGCGGGCGCCCCATGGGGTGTCGCGGAGAACAGGCGCGACTCAGCAGGGGCGTTCCACCCCACGTTAAGCAGGGCGTAGCGGAGGGTCAACGTCTCCTTGCGGAGCGCGGCCAAAACGCGCGCGCGGCCGCCCTCAGATCGGACCCACATGACATTGAAAGCCTCCGCCTGGCCAGCGGGCGCCGTCGGAACGAAGGTGAGCTGCAACGGCAGCTTCCCAGTAGCTACGGCGAAAAGAACTGCGCACGGGGGAGCCGAAGGCAACCCTTGGTCATTAATGTCGTGCAGTTGCAGCGTGCCGCCCGCGAGCCGGGCAACGAGGGCATCCCGCTCACTGTCGTCGACCACGGTCTCCTCGGTCCACTCGTAAGCGCGGCTGAACCGATCTGCGTGGTAGTGGCACCAACACTTCAGCTGCTTGTGCCCTTTCTGGTGCCACCTGTCAATGAAGCCTTGCAGCCTTTGGAGCTCCTGGGGGCCTCGCTTCAGGATGTGCGCGTGAAGGTGGCACCAGTCGTCGTAGCCCAAGACCCTCAAGGCAGCGGTCGCCCCCGTCAGCCTCTGCACGTAGGACGCGACCTGCGGGAGCGACTCCGCCACGTGAAATCGCAGCGGGGGCGCGACAATGCCGCACTCGAAAGAAGCTGCCAATACACCTCCGCGTCTGTATGCGCGGACGATGCCGCTCTCCTTCAGCGTGTTGCACCCCTCCCCCGTGGAGGGAATCGCACGGCGCAGCCGGTGTCTCCGGCGTCCTTTGCGCGGCCCACGTGCCGCCCGCTCTTCCGCCTTCTGCAGCGCCGACCGGCGGAGAGCCGGCTCTTGCGCAACATGAGCGGGCAAGGTGCACGTTAAACACCCCCGGCGCGGCAGGTTCGAGCAGAAGACCGGCAGCTGCGTCGGCGAGGGGGCGCGCGCCGAAGGCGGGATTGTGCAAATGCAAGCAGTGGGTTTCAACTTGCAGTTCCCGTCGACAATCATGAAGTCCGCGCAGTGCGCGGAGCAGATGGATGCGTGACGGGACACCCATTTGGCCATAAAATGCTGGAACAGACACGGGTGCGCCACGCGGAGTGTCTGTGTCCACATGTCCATGCCGCAGGCCCCGTCCCTCCTGTGCTTCGGGCAGGGGAGCCGGCACAGCGTGTCTGGGAGACGGGTGGCGCCCTCCCGAAGAACGTGGTCGTCCAGGGCGCCGCTCACCACGCCGCGGAGCACGATGAAGCGCTCGTACAGCTGCCAGAATGTTTTCGTGAAGCGGGAGTTGGCCTCACTGACGAGTGGGAGCGCCGCCCCTGTCCGTTCATGCCAAATGGCGCAGAACACGTGTGAAACCTAACGGGCGGGTCGGGTCGGGCCGGGCGGGACATTAAAGTGTGGAGCATGGTCGGACTAGCGCGTGTGAACCCTAACGGGCGGGTCGGGTCGGGTCGGGCGGGACAGTAAAAGTGTTGAGCACGGTCGGACTAGCACGTGTGAACCCAAACGGGCGGGTCGGGTCGGGTCTGGCGGAACCCTAAAGTGTGGAGCATGGTGGGCCTAGCACGTGTGAACCCTACCGGGCGGGCCGGATCGGGACATTAAAGTGTGGAGCATCGTCGGACTAGCACGTGGGAACCCTAACGGGCGGATCGGGTCGGGCCGGGGGGGCATTAAACTTTGGAGCGTGGTCGGACTTTCACGCGTGAACCCTGGCGGGCGGGTCGGGTCGGGTCGGGCGGGGCATTAAAATAGGGCGCATGGTCGGACGAGCACGTGTGAAACTTAACGGGCGGGCGGGCGGGTCGGTTCGGGTCGGGCGGGACATTAAAGTGTGGAGCATGGTCGGACTAGCGCGTGTGAACCCTAACGGGCGGGTCGGGTCGGTCCAGGCGGGACATTAAAGTGTGGAGCACAGTTGGACGAGCACGCGTGAACCCTTAAGGGCGGCCGGGCGAATCGGGTGGGGTCGGGCGGGACATTAAAGTGTGGAGCATGATGGGCCTAGCACGTATGAGCCGTAACGGGCGGGTCGGGTCGCATCGGGCGGGACATTGAAGTGCGGAACATGGTCGGACTAGCACGCGTGCACCGTGGGCCCTGGACAGGGCGCCTCCCCCCTGGACAGGGCCCCCCCCTATCACCGGCTTTCAAAGGCAAGAAAAGCTACGAAATACCAAGCAAATCAAACCTATATCTTCGTCCACTTCCACGACATCCTCCTCCTCCCCATCCGCTGCACTTAAAACCCTCTTAAGTGCAGCGGACCGTTTTGGCTGCCCGACCCGCTCACCGCCGCCGTCGTCGTCGTCGTCGTCGCCGAAAAGGCCTTCCCCCGCTCCCCTGAACGGATGCCCCCAACACACCACCGAAAACCTCCGAGAACTGCACCCAGGATTCCCTTTCGCTCTCCGAAATCCAGCCGGGTGCTGGTTGTCACCCTGAACCACAACACGGCCTCGAAGGGCTATGCATGTATATGAATACAAATATAAATAATATACAAACAATCGAATAATGATTACATAAACAAATAGCCTAATACATCCGCCACCGTGCCTCTGGGCGCGGAGTGGGCGAGTCCTGAGGTCCTCTGCCTCATCCCCTGAGCCTCAGTCCTCAATCCTGAGGCATCATTAAGGGGACCAGAGCCTAAATTTCCAAATCTCCCGGTCCTTGCCGCTGTTCCCCCGGGGCTTGTCGCGTCTGGTCGCGTGACTTGTTCGGCCCCAAGAGGGCCCCAAGACGGGCCAAGAGGGCGCCAAGAAGCCCCCAAGACGGCCCAAGAGTCCCCCGAGACGCCCACAGAGCGTCCCAAGACGCCCAGGATGGCCCCAAGACGGCCAAAAAAACTTCCAAGACGCCCCAAGAAGCCTCCAAGAGGCCTCCAAAGAGAGCCCCAAGAGGCCAAAATCGTTGATGTCCATTAGTTTTTTCCGATGTGTTTTGCCTTCTCGCCCTGTCGGCTTTCCGACGCTCCAAGACGGCCCAAGAGGCCCCCAAGACCGCTCCAAGACGACCCAAGAGGCCCCCAAGACGGCCCCAAGACGGCCCAAGAGGGCCCCAAGGCGGTCCAAGAGCCGCCCAAGACGGCCCAAGAGGCCCCCGAGACAGGCCCAAGAGGGGCCCAAGAGCGGGACCACAGACTGAAAAATCGAACCCTCAGCCCCAAGAAGCCCCCAGGAGGCCCCAAGAGGCCCCAAAGAGGCCCCAAGAAGCCCCCAGGAGACCCCCACGACGCCCCACGAGGCCCCCAAAAGTCCAAAAAGAGGCCCCAGAAGGCCCAAAACGGCCCCCAAGAGGCCCCCGAACTGCCTCACAGAGGCCCCAAAGAAGCCAACCACGAGATCCCAACCACTATCCACGAGGTCTCTGACCCACCACCCAGGCACGGTGGCGGGATAGGCCGACGGCCACTAGATTAAATTAGTAAATGGATGGATGAATACGTTCATAAATAAAACAATAAACAAAACAGATAAACGAAATACATAAATGAATGAACAAATGACTGAATAATGAATGAATAAAAAATAAACAAATAAATACGCCTCGCGCGTCAAACCTCGACCGTCCTCCTCCACACCCCCCCTCCTCCTCGTTCCTGGTCTGGCGCCCGGCGGCGGCCAGAGACCAGCGACAGGCGATGGCGACCACTATCGCCGGGAGCAGCCCCGCCCGCACCCTTCCTGCCGCGCGGGGATGGGGAGTAGGCTCGGCCTCCCGGGGCCCGGCCGGCGCTGGTTTTCACCCCGGCTCCGCCCGTGACGGCCCCGGGGCCCATCACCGTGTTGCAAAAAACACCCAAACACCCGACAAGGCAAACCTCGATCCTCTGCCTCTCCCACGACATCACTCCTCCTCCTCCTCCCTGGTCCGGCGCTCGGCTCCCGGACACCCCAACGTCGACGTCGATTTCGCATCGCGTGGAGGAGGGAAGGGGGCAGGAGCGGAGGTCAAGGAGGAGGTGGAGCGGGAGGATCTGCACCACTCTCCGCCGAACTCCGCGCCGACGACTCCGCCCCTGCCAGCGACCCGCCCTTCGGAGCACCGGCACTCAGGCCCGGAGGGGCGCCCCGGCGACCTCAGATGACGGAGACCCTGGCGGGCCGGCACCGATCGAGGAACCTCTGCCACCGACCCGCCATGACCGGCGCCATGGACGGGTCCCGCCAACCGGAGCGCGCCAGCGGGAAGACGAAGTTGCGGAGGACGCGAAGGAACTGACACGCAAGAGCGTTCAGCTCCATTGGCCCCAAGTTCTCCGCCAAGCGCGGGTGGCCGAGCCTGGCGATCTCAGCCTTGACCCTGCCCAGCGTAATAGACCAGGAATCGCCCGCGAACAGGAGCCTCCGGATCTTGGCGCTGTTCGTGCCTTCCTGCATGGGCGCCCAATATACAAATTATCACGAAGGGCACGCCGAACCGACCACGAAGCACCCACCGAGCCCCACGGATGGCACGGGAGGTCGGGGAGGGAAGATCGATCCCGGAAAAGAGGTCCAAGGGGGACAGTAGATCGACGAAAGCCGACGACGACGGACGATGAACGTCGGACGACGACAGGTCCCCCTCCCCCTTCCGCCTCCTTCTCCCCCCGCCTCCTCCCCCAGCGCTCCCTGCCTTTGGCCCCCGGCACTCCCGCTGGCGCATCGCTGGGAGCAGGGGGGCGGGTCTTGGTTTTTTTTGAAGGGGCAGAACATCCTTGGCGGGGTCCACGACGGCGCCCTCCACGTCGAACAGGCCAGAAAACCGCAACGCCGACCAAACGTGGTTGTAGAGGAGATGCTTGGCCGACGTGCAATCGCACAACGTCTCAACTTCTCGTGCCTGCACGAGGCCCTCGTGGTCATAAAGAGCCGCCACCAGGAGGGTCAGCGTCTCGGAGCATTTGCCCACGTTCCAAGAGGCGAGGTCCAGGTTTTTCTTGATGAGGCCACCCCTGGACGACCGCTTTGGTGGAATCACGCTTCCGGCGTGAAGGGTGCCCAGCCTCTTGGCCACCTCCAACGGCACGCGCATGAGGTCGACCCTCGCCGCGGCCCGGAGCACCTCGTCCGCGAATCCGCAATCGCGCCCGAGGCGCGCCTCTGCCGTGAGAGGGCTCTGAAAATCTGATGGTCGAAACCCGGGGATGAAAGCCCCCTTGGCTGCGGTAGGGCACCGGCGGGCCAAAAAACAGTATCCCAGTGCGACCCGACCTGGGAGTTGGAGCCCCTAGGAAAGCAGCATAAGCTAAGCTAAGCGAAGCAAGGCAAAGCAAAGCAAAACAAACCAAAGCAAAGCAAAGCAAAGCAAAGCAACGCAGAGCAACGCAAAGCAAAGCAAAGCAAAGCAAAGCAAAGCAAAGCAAAACAAAGCGAAGCACAGCAAAGCAACGCAAAGCAAAGCAAAACAAAACGAAGCAAGACAAGGCAAAGCAAAGCAAAGCAAAACAGAGCAGAGCAAAGCAAAGCAAAACACAGCAAAGCAAAGCAAAGCAAAGAAAAACAACGCAGAACAACGCAAATCGAAGCAAAGCAAAGCAACACAACGCAAAGCACAGGAACGCACAGCAAAGCAAAGCAAAGCAATGCAAAGCAACGCAACGCAAAGCAAGGCAAGTCAAAGCAACGGAAAGCAAAGCGAAGCAAAGCGAAGCAACGCAAAGCAAAGCAAAGCAATGTAAAGCAAAGCAAAGCAAAGAAAGGCAACGCAAAGCAAAGCAACGCAAAGCAAAGCAAAGGGGGGAAACCGCGGGGCGGGGTCTGGGGGAACCGCCCGGGGCGCATTACACTGCCCGGCCCCTTTAAGCACACAGAGTAAGAACCCTCTAGGCAGAAGCCTAGGTAGGGAAAAAATCCGGACCGCAGGGGAGCCGCGGTCGGGCTTGGGAGCGGGGTCGTCGCAGACAGCTCGATGAGTGGTCCCGGCCGGCTGCTATCAGCACCACCAGCGCCACGCGATCTCGCAACGGCAACGATCGCATGCGAGCCAGTCGCCTCGACGCCTGTACGCTGGGGTCCTCCGCTTTGAGGACCCCGTGAGTCCGCTTACCCTTGTTTACCAGCGGTGCAAAGGCACGGTGCGCGGGACCCCCCCCGGGTCAAAATTCACCAGTTCGCTCGAACTCCGTCCCGCCGTGGCGACGAGAGGCTCCCCAAGGGGGAGGGGGGGAAAAAACGAATCGGAGTCCCTTCGAGAGCAAGGGCGGCCGGCCCCTCCGCCCCGGCGCACCTCCCGCACCCCTTGCAGCATCTACCAGGGGCCTGGCGGAGCGGCGGTCGCTCGATAGCTAAAGGAGAGGTCCACGCACGTGTCAAAGTCGCACTGCTGCCCGTCGACCACAAAGCATGGGTTCGCAAAGCTGGAGGCCTCTCGCGCGGGCGACAGACCTGCTCGCAACACCAAGAATCGTGCGAACAGCTCCCATACACACCATCCCCGACAAACGAATTCCAGGGCGTTCCGCAGGTGGACGGCCTGGAACGTCTTCAACCGAGCGATCTTCAAGACCGCCGCCGGTGGATCGGCACCGCTGGCATGCTGAGCGCGTCTCACACAGGCAACGAGGAAGCTAGACCCGACGAGAACGGTGAGCTCCATTTCTGTCCAGCGGGCTCGCACTGCGAAGAAAATGCAGGTATGTGAAGACGACAAAAGCAGACATGAGGAGGACGACGACGGGGACGAAAGAAGGCACCTACTGGGGTTCTCTTGGGTTGTCCTGACAATCTGCTGAGCCGCATTCAAGCTTTGGGGGGGTCTCCGCGGTAGCGTAAGTGGATACCGAGCGCGCCTCTGGGCCACCCTCCGGCTCCGGCCGGCGAACTTCTTATTGGCCGCCGACTCCCGCAAAGCAGGAAGCGTCCACGCACGTGGGGCGCCGAGGCGCGCTTCTCCAACCTACCCGGGGCTTCGGTGCCCCGACCCGAATCTACCCGCTTCCCTTTCGGGCCCGGGCCTCTCCCCCGCATCTCTCCTGCCGGTCTCCTGCGGGGCGGCGGACGGTCCCCTGCGGTCCCCTGCGGTTCCCTGCGGGGCGGCGGTCCCCTGCGGGGCCGCGGAAATCTGGCGCAGGCCTGGCGGGGTGGACGCTCTGCAGCACTGGCAACCCGGCGCTCTGCCGCCGTCCAGAACGCGCCAGAGCCATGCAGGCTCTGCGTATTGACGCCGAGCTCCCCACGCTGGCGCGAATACAACCCTCGAGCCTGAAAAAAGGCTGCGGGTACATGACGGGGAAAGGGAAGGAGGGGGCGGTCCAGGTGTCCGCAGCGGTCCCAAACGGACTCCCACGAACCCTTCGGGCGGAAGTGACTTAGAGTGTACCCCCTTCCATCTGCCCCTCTTCCCCTCCTCCCCCCCCGCCCCTTGGATCCGGACGGGCCGGCAAGAGGAACGAAAGGGGGGGCGGCTTTGGGCTCTCTGGGGGTCTCCGCGGCAAGCGCCGCCACTCGAGACATCCTCACAACTCGGTCACTGTCGCTTGAGACGTCCTCACAACTCGGGCGCACCCGCTCGCGACCCCGCCAGCGCCGCTCAAGACGTCCTCGCAACTCGAGCGCGGCCGCTCGAGACATCCTCACAGCTCGGTCGATTGGCCACCGACCGGCCGATTGGCCGACTCCCCGGCTGGGCGATTGGCAGACCGGCCGACTGGCTGACCGGCCGACAGGCCGACTAGCCGACTGGAGGACAGGCCGACGCGCCCGGGAGGCTCTCGCAACGGGGAGCGGATCCGCTGCACTTAAGGGCCCCTTAAGTGCAGCGGACTGTTTTGGGCTTCGGGGGGCCCTCGCAAGGGGGAGCAGCTCCGCTGCACTTAAAGGCCCCTTAAGTGCAGCGGAGTGTTTGGGGCTCCGGGATTCCCCGCAAGGGAGGAGCATTTAAGGAGCCCTTCAAATGTGGCGGGCTGTGTGGGCTTCCGGCAAGCCCTCGCGAGAGAAGCAGGTCCAGTGCAGCCGGCTGTTTTGGCCTCCGGGAGGCCCCCCCCCCAGGGAGAAGCAGATCCGCGGCACTTAAGGGCCCCTGAAGCACGGCGGACTGTCTGGGGCCCCGGGAGGCCCCCGCAAGGGGGAGCGAAATTATGGTGTTCTGGGAAGGACAAGAGGCCCACTTACATACAGTCGGGCTGTCTTGGGCCTCGGGAGCCCCACCGAAGGAGGAAAAGCAGATCGCTGCACTTAAGGGCCCTTACGTGCAGCGGGCTGTTTCTTGGCCTCCGGGGGCCCCCGAAGGCGGAGCAGATCCGCTGCACTTAAGGGCCCCTTAAGTGCAGCGGGCTGTCTTGGCCTCCGGGAGCCCCCCCCCCCCAAAGGAGGAGCAGACCCGCTGCTGCACTTAAGGGCCCCTTAAGTGCAGCGGGCTGTCTTGGCCTCCGGGAGCCCCCCCGACCGAGGAGCAGATCCGCTGCACTCAAGGGCCCCTTAAGTGCAGCGGGCTGTCTTGGCCTCCGGGAGCCCCCCCGAAGGAGGAGCAGATCCGCTGCGCTTAAGAGCCCCTGAAGTACAGCGGGCTGCCTTGGCCTCCGGGAGCCCCCCCGAAGGAGGAGCAGATCCGCTGCACTTAAGGGCCCTAAGTGCAGCCAGGCTGTTCTTGGACCTCCGGGTGCCCCTCGAAGGAGGAGCAGACGCTGCAGCAAGGGCCCCTTAAGTGCAGCGGGCCTGCCTTCGGCTCCGGCAGCCCCCTAAACCCTAAACCCTAAACCCTAAACCCTAAACCCGAAAACCTAAACCCTAAACCCTAAACCCTAAACCCTAAACCCTAAACCCTAAACCCTAAACCCTAAACCCTAAACCCTAAACCCTAAACCCTAAACCCTAAACCCTAAACCCTAAACCCTAAACCCTAAACCCTAAACCTAAAACCCTAAACCCTAAACCCTAAACCCTAAACCCTAAACCCTAAACCCTAAACCCTAAACCCTAAACCCTAAACCCTAAACCCTAAAACCCTAAACCTTAAACCCTAAACCCTAAACCCTAAACCCTAAACCCTAAACCCTAAACCCTAAACCCTAAACCCTAAACCCTAAACCCTAAACCCTAAACCCTAAACCCTAAAACCTAAACCCTAAACCCTAAACCCTAAACCCTAAACCCTAAACCCTAAACCCTAAACCCTAAACCCTAAACCCTAAACCCTAAACCCTAAACCCTAAACCCAAACCCTAAACCCTAAACCCTAAACCCTAAACCCTAAACCCTAAACCCTAAACCCTAAACCCTAAACCCTAAACCCTAAACCCTAAACCCTAAACCCTAAACCCTAAACCCTAAACCCTAAACCCTAAACCCTAAACCCTAAACCCTAAACCCTAAACCCTAAACCCTAAACCCTAAACTGAAGCGCGACCTGCGGGTCGCGCATCGCCACGCCTGTAAGGACTTGCTAGTGAGAGCGAGCTGTCAGTCGAGCTCACCGCCACAATCGGCCCGCCGGCCTGAGGCTGTGTCTCGCTCAGAAACACATAACCCCTAACCCGGGGCCGGATGCTCCCCACTCGCGGCCGGCCCTGGTGAGTTTAGGGTATTGGGCCGCCACAACGAGCTCCCCCAGGCTCCTTGTCGGCCTCCACAACGAGCTCCCTGGGCTTCCTTGCCAGCTCCCACAACGAGCTTCCCGGGGCTCCTTGTGGGCCCACAACGAGCTCCCCGGAGTTCCTTGTGGGCCCCCCCAACAAGCTCTCCCGAGCTCCTTGTGGGCTCCCACAACAAGCTCTCCGGAACTCCTTCTGGGGCTCCACAACAAGCTCTCCTGGGCCCCTTGTGGGCTCCCACAACGAGCTTCCCGGAGCTCCTTGTGGGCGCCCACAACGAGCTCTCCCGAGCTCCTTGTCGGCTCCCACAACAAGCTCCCCGGGCCTCCTTCTGGGCTCCCACAACAAGCTCTCCCGGGCTCCTTGTGGGCTCCCACAACGAGCTTCCCGGAGCTCCTTGTGGGCGCCCACACCGAGCTCTCCCGAGCTCCTTGTGGGCTCCCACAACAAGCTCCCCAGGACTCCTTCTGGGCTCCCGCAAACATGCTCCCCCAGGCTCCTTGTG